TTAGAGCCAAAGTCCGCACATTCCAGGTTGCTACCCTAACAAGTTGACCCTGCTGTCTCTTTCACGCGGCGCGCGCTGCTCTCTTAGCTAGCCTACGCGCCGCCCGACCCCTCGTTTTCCTCCATCTTCCCCTCTTTTATTGTTTTTTAACTATTTTCTTGCCAACACTGGGGCTATCGTAATAGTTACCCCGGTTCTTGCCTTGTTTCCCATAGAGTTGCCTTGTTGTCCCGGAGCGGTATGGCCCTTCATCTCTGGACTCTCTCCTTTCCTCTCTCTGGGGCATACCCCCACGGCGTGCGGCCACTCCGCCACCCTCACCGTGCTCTCTGCTGCTGCACAGCCCCGGTGTCCAAGCCGGGGCGTCAGGATCCATTCTCATTTTGCAGCTAGCTACCAAAGCTGGTGGCTCAGGAGCTACCCCGATCTCACGACAATAGTAACTTCCAACCGCCAAACTCAGGATCCCCCTCTAAACAGTGCTAGGGACCGTATAACCTTCGTTGCTGGGTGGTCTTTCGAGGTCTAGATCCACTTGCGGAACCTCGGCCTACCCCAGGAACGGGGGGGGCAGGCCGGGGAGGAGTTGGCATGCTCACAACTGAACTACACGCCCACACGCTACAAATAGACTATGCATACCAGGCTGTAAATTGAGACTCGCAAAAATCAGAAGCTAAGAACTTAAGCACCATTTGTGAGCTCGGATAAGAACCCCACACTAAAACCGATATGGAGGCCATTTGTAGCCCACAAGAGGATGATCAGCAAAATAAGAAGCCCAGCCTCGACCGAAATTAGAGGTTCTTTAGTGCGGGCGCCATCTGTACAGAGGAAGCGGCGCAATTAGCTCGCGTCAGCTGATGTCGAGTGCCCCCTTTTTCAGTGTTCGATTTCCCTGCTGTTCCCGGCCCACGAAGGCCTAAGGAACACACCTTGATCGCAAGCAACTTCGAGACGCGCAAACCCACGACCCCACTGGCACATCTACACACATATCTACGTGCGATAGGCCATCGCCGGCCGATTTCACGTCGTAACACCCAAGCACAACGGTATCCACGGTCAATGCGAATCCTCGAGCTTGGCTAGTCCTTCCCGTCATACTGTATGCGTCCAATTTGTTCACGCGTTCAAAACAAACAATGCGCAACTGATTCTCAGGGGCGCTGATGGAGCATAGGAATAGCCTACACTACTGAGCATCAGATACACCACGTGAACACACCAGCACAAATACAAGGCCACGAACTACAGTAGAGGCCCCTGTTTAGTGCCGGGGCGTGCGCGGGAATTTCACCGGCACTATACCGGGCACCGGCACTATTCTTCAGAGTGCCTGAATAGTGCCTAAGGGGCACTATTCAGGGTCTGAAAATTCCTCAATAGTGCGAGACTGGCACTATTGAACTGCTGTGTGATTTCAGACTGCAGCGCTTTGCTTCGCGGGGCCAACAGAGTACCACATGAATCGTACATGGTGAGATCATGGCATGGGCGTCTCGGGCAGACTGCTGTGCCACGAAATAGGGGTGGTTCCTGCCCTGTCGAACACACATATTTTGCCTAGTCTAATAAGTTAACTGGACGGGACACACATGCTGCACCTTGTTGCTGTGCCCACCTCAGTGCACGTACTGCACACTTGCACAACCTGACTTGAACCCTTCACATGAATATCATCGCAAAGAAAGGATGCACCTCATAGATGTCCAATATTTTGCTGGCCTTAAACGGATCAAACCATCTCGCGCAACCTCAACATCACTCCTCGACAGCGAAAGCAAACCACCGATAATCATGAAGCCCATAGATTTTTGGCGGCAACACCCTTGCGAAGCTCCTGCTGGCACAAACTATTGGTGAAGGAGGAACCTAAATCTGTCTCCTCCAATTGCCCCCCCATCCTAGAGCACCATTCATCGAGAAGACCACAGGCAAAAATGTAAAACAATGCCACCCTAGTTCTTTGATCAAACACAAATAAATCCAAATCTACCGTTCGTTCCTGTCCCATACTCATAACGAAATTATGATGAAACTCAAAATCTCCGACGTGAAGTGCCTCCGTGAGTAAGTCAGCATGTTGATACGCCGATTCCACGTGAAAATCGGAATCTCCGCCTTCCTGCCTACCAGTTCCCTGATAAGGTGCTGCCTTACTTACTACGTCGATGTGCTTCGAGTTACTGTTGCTAATCGGGTTCTCCGCCAACTGAATAGCCCCCTGGTTATTCTCGAACACCGGAATACACGGCATACCTGCTTCTGGCAACATGAAACGCCATACCTGCCTCAGAAACAACACTCACTCCCTTCATCACATCCGCAAGGGAGACATACTCCCCCTCTGTCGTGCTCATCAAAACGCGCTTACTTCTGCGTCCTTGAAAACCAAGAAGTACATCCCCCCCCACACATCACCAAGCCTCCTGACACAGACCTCCTATCGGCAGCCTTACTTGCATAGTCTGCGTCTGCGAACACCTCCATGCTCAACCCTACTACACCACCCCTCCTGAATGTAATCCCCAAGTCACTAGTAGTCTAGTCCTTACCACATACATACCCCAAAATATCAAGACCTGCCCTCCAATGAATTTCTTTGGGAGAAGCACATTACCGTGCTACCGCTCGTACTGCATTCGCGATATCTGGCCTCGTTTGCGTTGCCAGCCACATCAGCGATCCTATCAGCTCACGAAAAGGCCATGAAACCACTTCCTCATCCTGGTCAAACTCTGAAAGCTTCAACCCTACAGGAAGAGGAATTTCCTTCCCGTACTCTACCCCAAACTCCATCCCCAACTCTGCAGCGTACGTCTGCTGCGAGAGCTTCAAAGTCCCTGTATCCCAATCTCTCTCGTAAAAACATCCAGAGTACCATCTCAAGTCACCAAGATTCTTCACCGGTACCATGGTGTTGAGGTCCCTGCCAAATTGGCCACACCCCTCCTCCTCTCCAACCGAAAATATATAATCCACATGTACTACCAGAGTCACTACCACTCTTCCCTCCTCGATCAACCGAAACACACACGTATCCGCCAGACACTGAATAAAACCCAGACAAATCAAAAACCTCGCCAAGTGTGAATGACATTGCCTTGATGCCTGCTTAAGGCCATACAGGATCACTATTGTTCAACTTCACTATCAAACCTGACAATCGACCACACACACCCTTCTGGCAGACGCATGAAAACATCCTCATCCGAATCCGACTGGACAAATGTTTGCTTGATGTCAAAATGACGCAGAGAAAAAATTTGCTCACATTCCATCGTTGCCAACAAGCGCCGTGATTTCACACTAGTCGGCCAACCATACTCATTACACTTCCAATTAAACACCCACTTGGCCTTGATAACACTCTCTGGTTGCTACATTACTTCCTCGAAGGTACCAGCCTCCATCAGACCGCTGAACTCCCTCTCTACAGAGTCTATCCACAAGTCAGCATACTCGGAGGACACAGCCTCCCTATACGTCTTGGGCACGCGCAAGTCGTTAGCATAGCAATGTGGCAAGTTCGGTGCCACTTTCGGGGGATTGAAATCCCTCATCGTGCTATCAACGTCCTCGCGGGAGGCAAGCAAAGTGGCGCACGCAAATGGGACTTCTTCACGCAGCCCTTCTGTTTCGTGCCCCCTCGCTCTCGCCCCCCCGGCTCCGCTCCTTCACGTCCTCCGGCTGAACTCGGGATCTCCTTTCTCCCCCTATCGACGACGCTGCGAGTGGTGAGAGTCGACAGGAGCGTTGCCTTGTCCGGCAGGAATACAAGCCCGAAGCGGTGGGCGGGAGCGTCGCCGCTCCCGCCAGGTGACGTCGACCGCTCGGCCCCCACATCCTGGAAACGCACCCCCCGACCCCTCAGTTTCCCTGGCACCCGCGCCTCTCGTCCCAAGTTCAGCTCTCGATTGGCCCTGGCAGAGGGGGGCGGCATTGACGACGCCTGCCCCCCGCCCTGGTCCTTAGCGGCTGCCCTCGTGCTCCCAGAAACCCTCATGTCCCCGCGCCCCACGTCCAGTTCACGGATGGTCCTCGTAGTGAGCGGCGGCATGTTGGTCGATGGCGCGGCACCAGGCGGCGCGACGGCGAACGGCGTTGCAGGCGGCGCGGTGGTGGTGAACGGTGGCGCGGCGGCGAGCGGCGTTGCAGGTGGCCCGGTGACCGGTGGCGATGGTATGGCTACGATAGACGGCGCCGCCGGCGATGGTGGTGTGCAAGTTGCAGGCGGCGCCTGTGAGGATATGGCAGCGGGTGAAGTGGGATATCAGGCAAAGGGTGAGGTGGGTAAAAGAGGCGTTGAAATGTACTCAATTAGAAACGGTGCGGCGGCGACATCCGGATCCCCCCCCTCGCCCGCCGGCGCCGGCATCTCCAGCGGCGGGGTCAGCAACGGCGCGCGGTCGGAGACCCACACGACGTTGTTCGTCATGCACGCGCCCCGTCGCGAACTTGAGGACCTTGACCGCCGACTGTACATTTTCCTCGGGGCTAAACTCCGCGGTGAATGCAGTGACAGTGATACCTGCGCTGATACGTATTGTTTCTTTAGGGGTTGAGACTTTCCTGTATTCGTCCTCCGGTTCAATCTTGACCCTCTGCAAGGCCCGCGCGAGGGTATCGATGAGGCTGACGTCCGCCGGCGATCGGGGCTGGTCTTCGGGTCGCGGGCTTGACTCCGAGCCAGCCGGCCTCTCCAGCCGGGTGTCGCCTCCTTCGGAAGGCATGCCCTCGCTCTGTGGTGCGGGGCGCTCTACTGCTGCTGTTTCTTCTACTTTGATCTTGACCTGCTCCTTGATAGGAGCGTCTATTACGTTTCGCTGCTCGTCTGAGAGCTGGAGCTCATCCAGCTGCTGCTCCATGATTTTTGTGTCACTGGTCTCTGGTCAAAACCTTTTGTAGCTGGCCCCACCTCGGGATCCTGTATGATATCACGCTAGCGTGTTGGGATAATCCGAACAGGCGGTAGCTTGTCGCAAGACGTGTGTTGAATAGGGTGTCGGCAACTCGGCGGGCTCGCGCCGAGTAGAAAAACTTGTTGTGATTAGTTGCATCCACATACACACACAAGCCCCGTTGAGGGGCCGACGCCGTATACAACAGAGGTACCTTGTACATCCCTGGAATCCATTCTACGTACCACACATGTCACCCGGTATTCCGCTCTACCTCATTCCATGGGAACATCCGTATCAACCACTTGGCATTGCTACAAGTATTTCTATCATGTCTCTTGTGTGTGTACGTGCGTGCTTGAACCGGCACTATTGTGGGGTTCAGTGGGGCCCGAACCGGCATAATAGTGGGCAGCCCTGAATAGTGCCAGACCGGCACCATTCAGGGCGGGTTCTGTGCGCGGAGATTTGACCGGCACAATACCGGCAACCGGCACTATTCAACCGGCACTAAACAGGAACCTCTCCTGTACTCTATTCTCCAATCACACCTACCTCTTGTTATCGACACCTGGCGGTCCAAACACGGAATTTTCGCCTTTCTTTGGAACGTTCCGTTCAAAAGTTTGGCCAATCAATCAATTGCGGGGCAATTTCCTCTCTCTCTACGGCGACACGCAGCAGTTAACTACAGCAGTGAGACTAATGGTTCGTCTGAGTTGTAGTGGACAACGAACTCAGACCTCTGCTTGGCCAAACAGGCCTGTTGCTTTTACCGCGAAAGATCAAGGGGAGACACTAAACACACCAACCCTTGCTTCCTACCGCCAGTCGGGCCTGAGTGACTTTGTCAAATCGTCGTGGAAAACCAACTGGATCGCCCGCTCTGGCAAAGACTCCAGTCAAACGATGTATCGTCAGGCACAAAGCGCAGGCTTCTCATTCAAAGAGTGTTCCCCCGCTTGTCTTCCACCGACGGGAAGCGGGAGTTCGCATGCGACGCATAGGTCAGACATTGTTGCTGATGCCAGAAAATATTTCTACACAGTAAAGAAGTACGCCTATGTGATCCGGTCCGCGTCACAAATCTATTCTCGACGCATTCACCACACCCTCGAAACATTCACAAACCCCGACGAAGTCAGTCGTCCACATCTATGGCATCCACGTCTATGACCCCGCTGTCTCCCATGCGCGAGAACTCCCGCTGTGTCCCCGCCTCGTCACGCACGTACCCCGACCCCACCGCTTCAAACTTTCCATCTTTCGCCAAAAGCATCGCTCCACAACTGCGCGCCGCAACAGGAGCGCGCGGGCGGGCAGGCAGGCAGGCGGGCGGGCGGGCGGGCGGCGGGCAGGTTCGGAGTCAACATCTTGACAATAATTTCGTCGCAACTCGATATTATTAGACTTACCAGCGCCTTTTCTTGCAAGCGGTCGGCAAAACTGAGAGGCTTATCGGTGTGCCAGCGGATTGCTAGGTGTAACTGAAGCGAAGCGGGCAGAGTCAGTCCTAGCTCTACCTTGGGGCTACTTGTTGCGCGTGTATGTGTTTGTCCCATCTATCTATTCTGGCGCCAGTTTACATACCTTTCGATGTATACGTTCGACGTATCAGCCGGGGTCACACGGACTGGAGAAATGACATAAAAAAAAACTTCTATTTCTCTGGGCGTGCTTAGATTGGAAAATGTCTTGGGACTTCCTTGGGGCCTTGCACCCTCTTGTCTCTACATGGCGTTTGCTAGGATATGGCTCGTGTGAGTTTCGTGGCTTCTAGTGTTTGCTACTTGGGTAAAGCTTGAGGCCATGTAGTTTCGTTGCCTCCTGCTAGGGAAAAGAAGGTCCTGGATCGAGGTCAAAATGATTTCCACAGACTAATACTAACAGCTAGGGTGGGTGGGCAACGCAAGACTGAAGCCAAAAGTTCGGTGGTGAGATGCTTGGCGGCGAGATGCTGCTATTAGATTCGTACGTGCTTTGATCAAAGTGAGGAAACCACGTGCGGGAGAAACCTGCATCTCTGTCACGTACACGACGGAGCTACAACAAACCCAAGCAAGTTACGCACAGAAAACACCGGGCAGGGTGTCATTTGAGCGCTCCTAGTACCTCGCATATCCTGAATGGTCGCAGTGCGAGGTAGAGTTATTGACCATATCACAGTTCCGAAAGTTGAGAGCTCGTGGGACGAGCTTGTGGGGGTGTCGCACCTCGGACACTGGTTCTGCTTGTTCTTGAGTCCTTGCAGATCCACATCGCATACCGGGCAAGGCGCGTCGACGAGGTTGATTCTGTTGTACAGGTTAAGCCCCGCGGAAAACAAGATCGGCCCAACGGTGATCGTCTGGGACACACACGCATAAGCACACGCACAAGCGGTTGCGCAGACAAAAATAAATGAGGACAGTCAGGGAGAGCAAGATGCGAACGAACTAGTCGAGATGGAATTCCCACATCATAACCTCTATCCCAACTGGCGGAGCGCTGGCGTCACAAGAGTAGAAACAGGGCGGACGCTCGGATGTGCGTGACGGGGGGTGTTAGACGGGCTTGACGGGGAGGGGGGGGGGGGGG